CCTACTGGAATGCCTGCCACCAGATACGAGTAGCAAGTGCTCAAACTCCCTTGGCCACTTGAGAGGTAACTTGTATGTAAATGTGCCCGCTTCCCCAAAACATTCAACAGGAGAATGCAGCCAAGGGGACAAGGGAGCAGGTGATGACAAAAATCAATGCCAATATTGTGCGACTGGAGTTGCTGCTCCATTTAGTTATAGAATGTTTATGGTGAATTAAGAAAAGACCATCTGCTAAAAATGCATTGCGAGGAGATCAGTGAATAGAAACAACTAGGCCATGTGCAAAACTCTCTCCTTTCATCTGAACACCTTGGCGTGCTCTTCCTAGGTTTTGCCACATAAGTTCTGCATGCCTAGGACTCTACTAAAAAGGATATCCAATGGAGAGGTCATTGAGAAGCTGCAGCGTCTTGGAGGTGATGGGTTCACACCGACCCCAGTACTTCAGGTTGGTGATGCTAAAGGAGAGGACAACAAGGACAGATCAGAAGGACTGCTCAGTTTTCCTTTGTTGTGAGGTCAGTTCTTCCATCAAAAGTCACTCAACATCAGCAGCTCCACCCTCCACCAAAACCACAGACATCACAAGCCACAAAATATTGGTATAAAATTACTGTACTTACATTTGGTTGACTAGAAAATTATCCTTCAGATAATCTTCACTACTTGGGTCCCAAGCTACACTGGCCCATACCCAGGCCCTTGGAATTCTGTGGCACTCCAGGGCTGATTTCTGCAGCAAGGGTAAGAGAATTCTGCGGCAGTGACAACATGCAGACGTATGCAATTCTGCACCTGCACCATCCACTGTCAGCTGCAGAATTCTAGTAGCCCTTGCTTCTGCCGGGAGAGCCATTTCACCCCTTGTGGATGTGCAGCTCGGGTGCGCAAGGTTAGGCAGGCACCGTGCACGTCAAGGACACTGCTAAAGGAGTGGGGAAAGCCGGTGGCCATGTGCCTCTAGGCGCACGGCACTGGGCTTCAGCCCTGGAGCTCCTGAAGCATTCTGAGTTCTAATGGAGATTGCCAGAGGCCCCACAAAGCCCAGTTGACACATTCAGGCCAGAGGAAGCTGCCCAGCAACAGGTCAGAGTCTGCTCAAGCAGAACAGTTTTAAGGATACTGCCACTACGCTAGCATGAAACCGGGCTATTTGTAAGGGCCTCTTGGTGTCCCCTCCTTGCAGTGCATTTGTGGCTGGTGATCAGCAATCGTGATGTGAGTGCACCAACAGTTGAGGCTGCCCCTGGTAAGCAGATGTCAGACCACAGCCTAAGACCACATCCATTCTTTTGGTGTAGCTGGCAGAGGATCACATTTGTGTCTCTCCATGGCCCAGGCTAGACTCCACAGTGGATAAACATCTGGGATGCTGCACGTGACTCACGCCCCTGATCACAGCCTACCATTTTCTTAAGCAGCCAGCAGTTACTATTCTGAAGTCTGGACATGACTCCCTTAGGTTCAAGATGTCCCATTCACACCTTCAAATGGACCCTGGAATCCCTGATGGCAGCATGCAGGAACACTTACATTTTTCCTATGAAGACACTCAGGACCATGGTCTCGTCATTCAATCCGAGGACCTCAGAGAGACGGCGGTACAGCTGGAAGAGAGGAGAGCAACAGCATTCAGAGCACAGCCAGGAGACGCACAGATGAACACTTCCCCGAGAGCCCCCTGCTTCCTTATTCAACCACTGTGGAGAAGATATCAGCATCCTATCAGTCGCTTCTTCCTGTAATCTGGGCATCATTTTTAACTGGGACCCCGGTAGGCCCTCCCATCTATGTCTTGCTGTACATCTGCACTGCATCCCTATGATACAGACTTTTCTGGCGGGGCTTTCGTCTGCACCCTGGGAAAAGGGATTACCTTAAATCTAGGAAAAATGCGGTTCCCTCAGCAGATGGGGACGCAAAGAAACAATGACATTTGTGCCTCAAATAACCTGGCAATGGAACTCCAAGCTGAAAAATTCCTAGCTCCCTTGCAACGTCCTTGCTCCCAGCACTGGGTACTACAGGTGAACGGAATGGCTAAGAGTCAATTTTGGGAATAAAAACAGCCTTGTTTCTTTGTTGCACAACTTGGGGCTGCATGATGATGAGCGTGAACTTCCCTGGTAGCTGGAAAGCCAAGACCTGGCTTTGTAAACCTTGCCTCATTTCCAAGGCATGCCCTTTTAGGCAGAGAATGCATCAGTTTTGACCTCAGCTCGAAGGCTCATTTTATCTTCCTATGGACTACCTACCAAAAAAACCCAAAACAAAACAGCGCCATGCCAAAGTCCGGCACCCTTCCCATTCAGATGCTTATACAGCCTCCCCATGTCCATGATTTTTAAGTACTCAGTGCTATATGTATTTTACCCCACATGTAACTGCTATTTACCCTTATGTTATGGATACAGAAGTGAGGTAGAAGCACATAAAGTGACCTGTTGTTGCTCTTGTGAAGAGCCTGTTAAAGCAGGGACTAAAACTCAGGGTCTACAAAGACCCGACCCACTGCTGTAATCATGGGGTTCTCTCTCCAACACAGATGACCATCTTAAGAGGTACTGTTTCCACAAGATGATTCCAGAACAAAATTTAAAAGCGGGTATTATAGAAAGCAGGAAGAATGTGGCTTCTAAGAAGCCTTTCCTTCTCGTAAGAAGAGAACAGATCAAATTCCAGCAGCTTAAACATCAACAGAAAAGAAGAAATGATTGCTTCCTCACAATTGCCGGGCAGAGGGCGTACCTTGGAGGACTTCTGCACCTGGTCTCCAATGTAGATCTTTCGGAACTGCTCAAAGAAGCTCAGCATGGCCAGCTCCAATTTCTCGTTGCCAGCCTGAGCTAGGCGGGAGTCTGTCAGGTTCATCAACTGAAGCACCCTGGAAGGAGGGAGACAATGCATTTAGGAACTGTTGGACACCCAACTACTCCACAAAAACAAGAAACATCACAAGAAACAGCACTCTGGACATCACTGAGGGTGGGTAGATGCTATTCAAGGCACCTGGTACCGATTCCAAGCTTTTTCCTTTCCCTATAGGGTGGCATTTTGGATTGAGAGTGGGCAGAGCAGAGTAGCAATATTATACGTTATGGCCAAGATCTTTGTCCTGGGTGAACTACTTTTCCATAGGCAGAATGGTCAGTGCAAGTCCTGTGTGCTGCTTAAGTTGCACTTAATCCAGAGGAGGGGTCCAGGTCCTAGTGCTGACACTGGAAAAGGGAATTTCATCCCCTACTGTGCCAATACAATGCTAAGGAGCAAGCAAGCAGAAGTCCCAACTTGTTTCTTATTAGGAGCACTGCACACACGCTGGAGCTCATAGGTAATGACTAGGAATAAGCCATCACGGTGAGAAAGGCTTTCACTGACTCAGTCCAGAGTCAGGATGTATGGGGCAAATCAAACAAGACTACTTCTTTGAAAAGAGTGCGGAGAGAAAGGATCAAAGCAAGCAGATTAACAACATGAGACTGCTTTGTGTATATCATACCCCTGAGGGCAGTTCGGCATGTTTGAAGTTTTGGTATCTTCCATCCAGTTACTCCCTAGCTACAGGAAGAGCCAAGAGGAGACTCGGTCTCCTACTAACCACAGCTAACAGAAGGACAACGTTTGTAAAGGCACAGATTCAGCTCCTCTTGCTCCCCCTAATCCCAGAAGAGAACTACAAGGAATTCTGCTCAAACTAATGTTGCTTGCGAGTCGCAGACTGCATATTAGATTACCCACACCAATTCAAGCTGAAACCGAGAGGCCTTAGTATTCTGACACATGCAACACGGGAACCAAAGCCACCCTGCGGGGGATGCCAACTACTGAACAGGAACTAGAACTGCCTTGAGGTGTTCACAGTCAGATGCAGCTGGGTTGTTTGTGGGGGAGGAAGAGGGAGATGAATATAAGAAACCCAGAAAAAAACTTCTTTCCCCAAAAAACACCATGCATTTGGTTCTGTTCTGTAGCACACATTAAAAAAATAAAAGAGCATCTTCCATGCTCTTCCCCTCACAATCATTCAATTGCTTGCTAAACACTCATGCAGACACCCCAATTTAGACAAATCCCAGGCAAAGCTTACTCAGCTTCTCCCTTCAGGGGGGCCAACCTCACCTCGTTGCTTTTAATGAGAAGAGTGTTAAAGGGAAAGAATACTTGCACCTGCATACTAGTCACTCTTTCAGGGGGACGGGAGGGTCCTCAAAAATACAACAGCCCAGCAAAAAAGCAGTTAGCATCCCTACCGACAAACCAACTCGCCATCCATCGCATCCTGCTCATCTGTACTGGCGAAGGAAACCCTACCACCGATCACTGCCCCGATGATGTAGACAAGCCACGTAAGACGCCCTGAAACCAACAGACCACATCAGAACAAAGCACTGAGCAGGCTACATGATAAGGAGATCCATGAATAACAGATTATCAGTGATATGCACGTCCGGAAGCTCAGACAGTTCCAGAATGACCTGTTTTCCCATTCACTGAAGGGGAGGCATGACTTCCACAATCAACACATTTGCTTTGGCTCATCATGCATCACCCAAATTTGTTCACCATACAAGACCATTTCACCACAGGAAACCCCCTTCTGCAGACTCCTGGAAATGCTGTGTATATTAAGAAGAGTGCTTTTTTAAGTATGTGGCATTGACTGATATGCTAAGAGACGCTCAATTCACAACCATACACTCTTCTCTACGCATAAAAGGTTTACTGTTTTAATCATGCAACTGTATAATTAAAGCAGGACAACCTCCTATGTTTATCCTAGTACAGCTCATTCCAATACTGGAAGGAGACTAGGATATACCATTAAGAAGGCACTTTAATAAAGCCACTAGAGAGCAGACAGTTGTCTGTACCCAACATTAAAGAAGCCACAGAACAGTTGCACCAGTACAAACCCCATATGCAGGCCAAGTCCAAGTGTATTCCAGCCACTACTCCCCAAAGGAACATCAGTGAGACTCCATCTCACCAAACAGATAATCGCATGAGGAGAGAGTGGGCTTCGGGGATTCCTAGTTCAATGGGCCCCAAGTGATGACTGTTCCTGGGCTGCACTCACCTTCCTGCACTGCAACATCCATGGGGCTGGCGGTGGCACTCTGAAGGAGCTCCTGGTAAGACTGGGCTGACTGGTCAAAGAGCTGCACAAGCAGAGCACAGGTTTTCTCATACTCACACCGCCCGATGGTGGACAGCTGATCTAGCTGCTGTTGTACAAGGCCAGTGTCATCTAGAGGGTCTTCCAGCCCATCTCTGCACAAAAAACAAGCAGATGATAAAGGCACATCAAAAGCAGTTCTGGCCTAAGTCACAACATAAGCTTATCTCCATGAGGACAGACTACGCCTCTTCTAGGTCTACATCTGTTCCTAGACCTGGTTGCCTGAACCTTTGTTGGCTAACTGGGGAGCAGTACACAGACTGATGCAAGAAAACCAGGCCATCACTGCTGCGGCTGCGGCCATAAATCAAAACAGCACCAACTACTTGAACTGGAGGAGAAAGTACACGCTGCACTGAATACACCTTTATTACAGGCAGATTGTTCATCGAGGGCTTCGTACCTGAAGTGCAGGCATTAAATATTAAAGGCACCCATCTGGATGCATGTATTTTCTAATCTTTATGGCTTGGTTCACTTGAAATATACTGTAATATATGAAGACTGAGCATCTGATTCAGCCTTTTTTTTTTTTTTTTACAACTCAACCGACAGTCAGGCATAACTTCCTCCCCCAGAGTCCATACAGGGACAGACCAAGACCCCAACAAATTAAGATGCATTTTCCCTGCCTCATTCTTCCCACACTGTCAGAAAGGTTCCCCTTACCTCAGGATGATGTGCACAGACTCGAGCCTGGATGTGATGTAAGCTTTTGTGACCTCCGGCGTATACGTTTCTAGCATGTGAGGTTCTGTGGCTTTAACGTACGGGACTGAGGCTGCCAGCCTTTGCCACAGGCTCAGGAGATAGTGAACGCTGTTTGGCGCAAACTCCCAGTGCTGAAGACAACCAGAGTGGGAAGAAAGAAAACCAGTACATTTAGGATTCCAAGTGTCATGTGAGCCTTGCATCCTTTACCAGCATTTAGAAGCTTTATCCAGGATGCACTGCTCAAAAACTTCACAGCTTCATTCTGCACATATTTAACACTGAATTTAAGTTAGCATCTAAATTACAAGAGAACCAGAGAGCAAAAAAAGCCCCAACCAGAACAGACCCACACATTCCCCCCCCACCCCCGTCAGCTAGAGCACCAAGAATATGTCAAAATTAGCTTCCGTGACTGTCAGCCGAGCAGAAGCCTCCAGCTTCCAGTCAAGGCTCAGAAAAACTGGAACTGGAAGGCGTGGACAAGGGACCTCAATACATTGCCTCAGTGATAACAGTGTTGTTGCTTTATCTGCCCTTTTGTTTTAGCATTCCAGTGTAGTGCAAAAAATACACCTGTGCTGTAAAAAACACTGCAGCAAGTGAATCCTCAGCTGCTGGGCTCCATCTCTTTAATGGGTCAGCATGCACAGGTTTCTAAGGCAGCCCTTTGAAGTATCCACAGCCCAAGAGAAAAAAAAAATCCCCAACAAGCTGCACACTTGGATGCACCAGACTTTCCTTGCTGCAGATTTGGGTTTGAGTCTTTTCTTGAAATATTTTAGCAGGCTGCTCCAGCCAGCATTTTTACGCCTCCCACATAAGAAACACCCATTCTACCAGAGAGGAAAATTATACAGTTGCACCGTAATACACAATTACCAGCACTGACGCTACATTAAAGCAACACTGAAACGCAAAAATTGGTTCTTGTGAAGAAGACATTTCAGTCCCCTCTCATGGCTGTCCACACAAAGATCCTTCCTACTTTATCTCCTGCACTATTATGATCATCTCTCCGTCTTTCTCTCCAACACGCCTGTGAGAGATGATCGAGAGCGTTAAAGTTACGTTGCTCTTATTTACCTCTGACAGCAACAAAAAGCTCCATGCTCCCTAAACGTCTGCTGATGAAAACTTCCAGTTGGCTTGTAATTACCACGAAAGGATTTTTAGCTGCGGTGTAGTTGTATGCTGTATATCAGTGAGAAACCCAGAGGGAAGCTTGCGTGGTGTTCATATTGCTAGCAGTAAAACCACCCCCTTAACTATATTTTAATAACAGATTGATGCACACTACTAAAAATAACCAGGAACGAGCAGGTTTTGCTGCTGAGGCATGGAATAACTCCAAAGCTGTCACTACAACCCTCCCCTCCTGTATCATTCACACCAAGTTCACAGAAAAACAGTACCGTGTTGTAGGACCCGGCTGTTGTAAGGTTTGCTTGGCTTGCCGCTAGGCCTCATAACTGGCACTGCTACCATACAGTACAAGGCACGGAGTGGACACAGACAGCAAATTCTTCTCCTGTTAAAGAGGCCTAAGGCAATAAATTCCTACCTGTAGGCTGGTCACGGTGAAGTTGGCAATGAGTCGGATGACTTCAGGGTAATTTTCCACTTTCACTAGCTCTCCCAGCTGATAGTTGCTTTTCAATCGGGCCAGCAGTCGGCAGAATTCATGGTAGTTGTTTGGGTCTGACAGACTCTGGGCAAGAAAGACAAGGACATTAAACAATGTGACCGGCAGCACACTTGAGTAATGCAGAGAAAGGGCGTTTGGGGTCTTTTTCTTCCTTAACTCTGTCACTGACTCACAGTTGGTCCTTTTCTAAAACACAGGTAGAGTGCTTCCCCACCTCCTTAAGTGAGCTGGAGATGTGCGTCAACCGTACTGTGCAAACACTATGTTCTCTCATAGCTACACAGTACAGATCAGCAGCTAAAAGTCAACGTGAAGCTTAAGGCAGGCAAAGCATGTCTACTGCATGGCATCCAGAATAGGCACGGAGCACTTCGCTCCCACAAGGACAAGCTGTAAACCACAGGGGCCCAGCACAGTGCTTCATATCTTAATTTTCTTCTCCCTCCACAAATGTTGTTAAACTTTAAAGAGCTTTTTTTTTGGATCAGGAACAGGGGACTGAGAGAGAGAAGGAAGAGATACCACCACCTAATCTTTCCTTTGTGGCCTGTGCCAGATAACTCTCTCTCAGAGCTTTGTCCAAGGAAGTTCATAGCTGGCCCTAGTGAAGTGGCACCTGAAAAGCATTCTCCCAAGCTTTGCTGATCACAATGGCTGGGAAGTTTTCTAGATAACTGGCATATATCTCCCCTTTTGTCCAGCTAGAAACCCAACACCCACAAACATGCCTGAGGCATCAGCTCAAACCCCTACCTTAACTGACAGTCACATTCATCTCTCTCAGCTTTCTGATTAAACTGCCCGTTTGGTTATTTTTAAGTTTAAAGACTCTCCATCTCCTTAAAATATTTAGTGACTCTGATTTCCTTTGTGTGTTTTCTGCATTTCTCCTAAAGTGGTGACCAGAATGGAAGAGTGGCAAATGTGACAAGTACAGTAGTGGAAGCTCTTTCCAGAAAGCAATATGCCTCGCCAGAGGAGACACAAGCAACACCAGTATCTATTTCCAATGCACTCACCTGTGGGTTCTCCAGTATTCGTTTAACACCATCAACAAGATGAGACAGGAACTTGGCCCTCTCTGCGTTGTTAAAGAGGGATCTGCGTACAGAAGCTATCTGCACTAAGCAGGATAAAACCTGAAAGCAGCCAAGGGAATAAAAAAAGAAAAAGATGCGATTCAAACACAAGGGAACAGGCCAACCTACTGTTTTCTGCATCTGCCAGAGAGACTAGCTCATTCAAGTTTGTGATATTCTGTAGCAAAAAATCAATCAATCAATCGGTCTGGTTCAAGGGGCAGCCTTAAAATTTAACAACCACTTCCAAAAATTCTCTCTCTGTGAAGAGAGAAAAGCAGGAGAAATCCAGCAGGAGCAAATAAATTACGAAGGGGGTTAAGGGACTGCGCTATAAAGAAATCATCTCTCCAGCTTGATGGCTTAATAAACATCCGACTTTAGGCAAAGCACACATTACAATTCCCACTATGCTGCCATGTGGCAACAGAAATAGGGGATTTCTCCAGATGCCGAAAGCAGAAAATACAGGTTGCGTCCTCTAATTCCTCATGTCTAATTCCTCATCTAATTTCTCATGCATGTAAACAAAGGCTGACCTGAAAAATCTACCTGCAGCATTAGGAAAAGCCAGCCACTCTCTTCTTAGAAGAACTTAACATGGGCTGAGGAGAGGAAGAAGAAAGGCGAGATATGCATCTTAGATGAAATATTAAAAAGGGCTTCCCAGCTCAGCCCCCACTTCTGAAACAGAAGGCAGATTCCAGAGCTTCAGTGGCACAAGGGAAGCTATTACTAGACTCCAGAATGGGGCTCTGAACTTTAAGAACATTAAAAAGAGACTTAATTATGTGCGGCAGCAACTCATGCTGAGGCAAGTTCTGTTCCCTCTGACCAACCTAATGACTACCTGCTCGGCTGCTGAGCCTTTCTGATTGCTGCTGTAATGGCCAAGAACTCAGAGCAATTACTGGCTTAATTGCTTTAGATTTCTGTTTAACAGCGTGAGATTTTTTTTAAATCTGTCTTGCATATTTAAGGCTCCAAACTCTGTCTTCACTAAGGAGCACTAGAAAGAAGCGACCACTTCCATTCTTCCCTGCTCTCATGAAATAAAACAAAACACCAATACACAGCAACGTTGAAATGATCCTCTCCTCCCCAGCCAGAGCTAATGCTGCAATGAAAATGGAAAAATGTTTATTCAACAGTACTGGAGTGCCTGTTCTATGCTACCCCCTCTCCGCCACACCCAAATAACTTAATGGTTTTCAGAGAAGCATACGCCAGTAGCATAACAATATAAATTGTTCCCACCCCTAACCAGCACCGGTGACGACCACTTCTTATAGTTCTTGGAGCACAGATGCAAAGCAGCTTCTCTTAATATGGGACCTGAAGGGCATCTGCAAATTCTTCCATTGCACCAGCAGTGTGTGCAGCTCAGAACAACTTCCAGGTAAGAAAAAAAAGGCTTTGCACAACTCATGCTGGTTTGGCCAGGGACATTTTGGGGACTTGTCAGAGATGCGCGGACTGAGCTCAGCCACAGAATGAGGAACTTCACACAAGAGCTCAAAACCCAAGCTATGTAGCCACTGGCTGGCAGAACGCTGTCCAATGCACAGAGTAGAATTCAGCACCAGGGCCCTGGCAGATTTGCTACCTGCTCACTACATAATTTTGGGGGTAAGACTTCTCTCTGTGTAAATCATCTCTGGGAATCCTATTCTATAGTCCTCTTTATGGGGGTGTAGAAGGCTTACTATGTTGCAAAGCACTCTGAGGTTCTCAAGGGCTAAGGTAAGGGCAAAAGGGCAACTGTGGGTCAAAACATTTTTGGATGCAACAACTCGGTGTTGAGGAATTTGCACAGCCCGATCACAGAATCATAGAAAGTGAGGGTTGGAAGGGACCTCAGGAGGTCACATCCAATCCAGCTTCTCTCCTCAAAGCAGGACCAGCCCCAACTAGATCATCCCAGCCAAGGCTTTGTCTAGCTGGGTCTTAAAAACTTCCAAGGATGGAGAGTGTACAACCTCTCTGGGTAACTTGTCCCACTGCTTTACTACCCCTCCTGCTGAGAAAGTTTTTCCTAATATCTAGCCTAAACTTCCCTTGCTGCAATCTGAGCCCACTGCTCCTTGTTCTATCATCTGCCACCACTGAGGACGGTCCAGCTCCGTCCTCTCTGGAACCCCGCTTCAGGGAGTTGAAGGCTACTATTAAATCCCCCCCATCCCACCTTTTCTTCTCCAGACTAAATAAGCCCAGTTCCCTCAGCCTCTCCTCAGAAGTCATGTCCCCCAGCCCCTTAATCATTTCCATTTCCCTCTGCTAGACTCTCTACAATTTGTCCACATCCCTTCTTTAGTGTGGGGGGCCAAAACTAGACAGTACTTCAGATGTGGCCTCACCAGTGCAGAAGAGAGGGGAAGAACCTTTTCCCTCAATATGCTACCACCCCTCCTACTAACGCAGCCCAGTATGTCGTTAGCCTTCTTGGCAACACGGGCACACTGTTGGCTCATATTCAGCTTATTGTCCATTGCAACACCCAGGTCCCTTTCTGCAGAGCTGCTGCTTAGCTAGTTGATCTCCAGCCTGTATCGGGACGTGGGATCGTTCCATCCTCAGGGCAGGATTTTTCACGTGTCGTTACTGAACCTCACGAGATTTCTTTTGGTGCAATCCTCCAATTTGTCGAGGTCTCTCTAAATCCAAGCCCGTACCTACTACTCGCCTCAACTTGGTGTCATCTGCTAACTTGCTGAGGGTCCACACTCCATCCCGTCTTCCAGGTCACTGATGAAGATATTGAACAAGGCTGGCCCCAAGACCAACCTGAGGCACTCCGCTTGAGACTGGCTGCCAGCCAGACAGAGCCATTTATTACTATCCTCCGAGTCCAACGATCCAGTCAGTTTTCTATCCACCTTACAGTCCATTCATCCAGCCCATATTTCCTTATCTTGCTTGTGAGAATGTCGTGAGGGACCATATCAAAAGCCTTGCTAAAGGCAAGGTATATCATGTGCGCTGCTCTTCCTGCATCCGCAGAACCAGTCATCTCATCATAGACAGCAATCAGGTTGGTCAGGCATGACTTGCCTTTGGCGAATCCATGCCGACTGTTCCTAAGCATCATCTTCCCCTCCAGGTGCTTACAAATGGATTCTTTGAGGACCAGCTTCATGATTTTTTTTTTTTTTGATTTTTTTTTTTTTACATGTTGTACTGGTAAACTATTTAGGTGCTGTTCTGAACTCATTGTCTACCATTTTAACCGGAAGCCAAGCATCAGGACTGCAAACACTTCTTAGTATTTAGTAGCCTCCAACAGTTCCTTTCTAGCAGTGGAAATGTTTGAGAAGTTTTCACCACTACAAGTCATTCCAGGAAAGAGAACACCTACTGTACAAGTGTTAGTTTGCAGCTGCCCCTTTTCCTTTGCTCTCCATGCCTTCCCCAGAATGGGGATCAGTCTGTGTTGGGACCCACGTTCAGGAGCGCATCTTCCGCTCCATTGTGGGCAAAGAAGTAGGGCTGTAGGCACATGGCATGGAAAAGTGGTGGAAACAGGGGCAACAACAGGACAAAGGCCCTAGTTCTTTCCCCAAACTGGGCAGACCCCGGTTGATGATGTACTGCTGCTGCTGCTCCCCTCTCTTCCTGGACCCGACCAGGACGGGAGCCTATACGCGTTCATGGATACCTGGAAAATCTCTCTGTCCTGGAAGGGGCAGGTTTCCCACCAGAGAAAGTGAATGAATGCTTGTAGTTTCTACTGGGAGAATGACGATTTTTCCCCCCGGTAGAAATTTAACACCTGTATGTGGCCAGTGTCATAAGATCTGCAAACCTGAAACTCACCAGAGGAGAAAATGAAGGAGGGATGGAATGATACAGGTCAAAAAACAGCTGCAGGGTTGAAGAATCTAAGAAGGCTGAAAAACAGAAAGGAGCACTTTATTGTGAACAGTTACTACACTCAACAGATCTACATGTGTTTATCTTCCCCATCTCTGATGGCAAGCACACATTACACTAAGAAAGGACTCTATGAAAAACAAAATAAAAGAAAGAAGCCTCTCTGCCAGCAGTCAATCACATCCTGCTTCTTTCCAATGGGGAGGAGGGAAAAATATAAGACAGGAGTCTTTGCTCTCCAGATTCCTATAAGGTAGTGATCCACATTTAGCACCTTGGC